ACATACATACATACATACATACATACATACATACATACATACATACAGTACATTATCTTTACCCGCTTCTTCCTCTTCTGGTCACAGGAATCACTGGTGCTCATATCCAGCAATCACTGTGCGAGAGGTGCGGGACACCCTGGACAGGTCTCCTGTCCATCACAGGGACACATGGAGATAAACGAGACAAACAACCATATTTTCTCTCACTTTCACTTAGAGACAATTTAGAGTTACCAGTTAACCTAATGTGCATGTTTTGGGTCTGTGTGAGGAAACCAAAGTACCTGGAAAAAACTCATGTGTGCACGGAGAGAACATGCAAACTCCACCCAGAAATATCAGGTCAGCCCAGTCCTGGGCTGGGATTTGAATCAGTGACCTGCTCAATGAGTGGCAACAGCTCTACCAACTGTGCCATTGTGCCGCAATTAAGCATGACTTCTGTTTAGGTCCAGTATAGAACACATTACAAATGTTTTCCTCAAATTAAAAACAGTTTATGTCTTTTTCAGAATGTTGGTTCTGGGGTAAGATGCACATTAACTAGTTGTTTAATCCAGTCATCCATAATTTATTTAAATACTTTACTATGCAGGGTTATGGGACGCTGGTGCCTATTTCCAGTGCCATTGGGCAAGACTCAGGCAGCAACCTAGGCAGGTTTTTCAATCACAGGGTCACAGGGAATCAAATGAGACAAACAACCTAGGGACAAGTTACAGTGACAATGGACATTGGTATGTTATTACCAGTAGTTTGTGTAAAGTCTTAAGGTTGATCTATCTTAAGTGAATAAATGTATTTTAAAGCACAGTTTTTGTCTTTATATTTCTTTGGTCACAAATCACTTTGAGCTACATTCAGTCCATGTATTGTCAACATTCTGACATATTGCTTTTAAACATACCAATAGGACTCATCTCAGGGATGCTGGACACATAAGGCTCGTTCTGGAACCGAGGCATGTTGTCGTTGATGTCCTGCACTTTAATTATAAACTCTGACTGGGGCTCCTCAGGCTCATTGGTCCTTCTGTTGATAGCCTGTGCTTGAAGGACATAGAAAGCCTTTTCTTCACGGTCCAACTTCTTCAGTGTTCGGATCTCACCAGTATACTCATCCATTTCAAACAGATCTTCAGCACCTTCTCCTGATAAAATGTACTTGATGTTAAACTCTCCTCGGTCAGAGTCAGATTTGAGCTACAGAAAGAGACGGAAGGAAAAAGGGTTTAAATATGTTTTTTTCTCACATGTAACTAGAAAACCTATATTTTCTAAAGAAAACATCATGTCAAGGACATGGCTGACATTCAATGTGAAGCTTTACCTGGCCGATAATACGAGAAGTTGGATCTTCCTCAGGGACAAACAGCTCTTTCCAGATCCAACCTCTCTTCAGGCGATGAGGCAAAAAAGTAGTCCTCTGGGCCAATCGCTGGCCATGCAGATCCTGTGGATCTCTTATGATGCTTAGCAATCCAGCAGGAATCATCGAAAAATACATCACCACAACAAAAACACTCAGGTGGCTAATTTTTATCGTCCATGTGTGCATTTTCTTTACACTTTCCATGGTCAGTGGATCTTTATCAGGTGTCCCCAATCCAGTGTTGCTAATTCTTTATTTACCAGCAGAGTAATCAGGATTCTGGCAGAGCTGCATCCATTCTTGTCCAGATTTTAATTGTTTGCACGTTCATAGCTCTGAAACAAAAGTTAAGTTTAATTAAAATTTTATTGAATTACTTCAAATTGTGTACAGAGACTAAAACATCAAATTTGAATTTTGAGTTGGTGCATTTTACACTAAAGACAACTACAGGTGCAATAATGTTTTCCTTTCTTGTTACAGAAATAACTTACAATTTTATTTAAGTTCTGTATGCAGAATAAAAAGTTAATAAACTCACTAAACTTTTAAGGCATTTGATTACATATTTACAAATTGCAGTTTAAATTATTTCATACATGGGGGGTGACCGAGATGGTGTAGAGGTAGGGCAGACCAGAAAGCCACAGGCTCAACTCCCTGCCATGCCCACATGTTGTGGTGTCCTTGAGCAAGACACCTAATCACTAATTGCTCCCTGGGAGCTTACATGGCTGCTCACTGCTTCACCTGGGTGTTTCTCACATGTGATGGGTTAAATGCAGAGAACTAATTTCATAATTGTATGGGAACATACAATGATAACACTTTAAGTCATCTTTTCAGCTTAAATTCAATAAAAACAAAAATAAAAAAAACTTTATTAATCCCAAAAGGAAATTATTTGTTGTTGTAACTCATTTTCCTCGTTTCATTAAGAGATGTTATAGATACTGATGGCTGTAGACAGGAAGGATCTCTTGTAAAGGTCCATCCCACAGTGGATCCTAAGAAAATGGCTGCAGATGCCATCCGATCTGTCCACCCAGACTCGGCTGGCCTCTCGGTTCCCCCACGCTGTAGGACCGCCTGAATGCCGGCCAGAACTCCTCCCAGAGCGATGGCCACTCCTCCCAGCAGTCTGCCGAGATCCTCGTCGCTGCGGACAGCCAGCTGTTTGTGCCCAGGGACGATCCTGTCCATCTGCTGTCATGAGCCCTGTTTCCTGCTAGTTCCAGGATCTCAGTGGTCAGGAACTCGAGCACAGCTGGCAGGTAGACGAGAATGCATCCACAGAACATCCTTTCAACTCATTTGATATTTGGGGCTGTCGTTGAAATATTATTTGAGCTTTTGAGATGTTAATCAGCTGCTGTTGGTTGTAGAAAACTGCCTTGTTGCCATGGTTACGCATCATAACAAATGTCCAAAACTAAAAAAGTTTCAGTGAAAATACTTCCAGCTGCACAACATCTGATACCAGAGGAAACAATCATCCTGAAAATGTGACTTACATCCAGAAAAAGAGGAATTAAAGTTTCCAAAAGCAAAATCTCAGAATGAAAGTAACAGAGCTGCTCCAACATGCAGCCACCTTGAGCGGCGCAATTCTAGTATAGTATAGTGATAAATTATAAACGATAAATGATAATGATAAAATTTCTAAATTTAACAAACTATTAAATATATTTGTAGAAAGCAATAAATTAACAATATATTTTTAAAGATGAATACAATGAATAATGTGTAGAAATTAACACATTTTTCCATGGGTTTGACTTCGTTCTGCTCAGGTCAACCTGGTTCTGGTTTAGATCTTTCCATGGGGTGACTCTGCCCACTTCTAGCTCAGTTCTTTGGACCTACTTGGCTGAGGTTCAAGGTGAGCTGCAGTAAGTTGATGATTTCACCTCAGCAAACTGCAGTCCATTGATTAGCCAGGGAATGATGCCACTGGATGAGTCATGGCAGTCACAACTTCAAAGCTGACTTGCTTTTCTTTTATTTTCTTTTATGTGTTATATAATAAACCTTGTAAGCCTTCTCTGGCTTATTAATAACTTTTGCACGACTAATCATAGATTAAGCATTAAGTATACAATGACGTTGATGTCCTCCATTGTTGAGTGTCACTAAAAAATGACTTAAGTCGGAGTCAGAGTCAGAGTTTCTTTATTGTCATTCGCACCTCATGTGGTACATGTGGTGGAGCGAAGTTATGTACACAAGGTCCCAGTTACATCCAACAATAAAATGTATAAGAAAAACAGTAATAACATCTAAGATATGAACTAAGAAAATCATCAACTAAATATACACTAAGCACTCATAACATAAAACATTGAACATCAGCACAAACATGAACATGAGCCTGTGAGCAGATGTGCACGCATGAACACATCAACATTGAAACAGATCAGCAGCAACATGAAACAGATCAGCAGCAACATGATATGGTTTTTCACAGTGATTATTCTAGTTAGAGATTCATGAGTCTAACAGCCTCAGGGTAGAAGATGTTCCTCAGTCTAGTGGTTCTACACTTAATGCTCCTTAACCTCCTTCCTGAGGGGAGTGGGGCAAAAAGTGTGTGTGCTGGGTGAGTGGGGTCCTTCATGATGCAGGTGGCCCTCTTCCTGCATCTGGAGGTGTAGATGTCTGTGATGGTGGGGAGACTGACTCCAACAGTCTTCTGTGCAGCCTTCACCACTCTCTGCAAAGCTTTTCTTTCTGCAGCTGTGCAGCCTCTATGCCACACGTTGATGCTGGAGCGCAGGATGTTCTCCACTGCACACCTGTAGAAGGAGGTGAGGACTGAGCTTCCCAGACCAGCTCGCCTCAGCCGTCTGAGGAAGTAGAGTCTCTGATGAGCTTTCTTGATCAGGCTGGTGGTGTTGTTGCTCCAGCTGAGGTTGTCATTCATGTGTACACCCAAGTACTTGTAGCTGGAGACCACTTCCACTGCAGATCCTCTTATGTTCAGGGGGGTGTAGATGTGTTTGTTCCTTCTGAAGTCCACAATCATCTCCTTTGTCTTCTTCACATTGATGTGAAAGTTATTCTCTTTGCACCAGCTCTCCAGGTGTTCCACCTCTTGCCTGTAGCTGGACTCATCATTGTTTGTGATGCATCCCACCACCGCTGTATCATCCAAACTTTACAATAAGACAGCCTGGATGGGTAGCTGCACAATCATACGTGAGCAGAGTAAACAGGAGGGGGCTCAACACACATCCCTGAGGAGAGCCAGTGCTTAGGGTTATGGTGGAGGAGGAGAAGTTGTGGATCCTCACTAACTGTGGTCTGTTTGTTAAAAAGTTTAGTACCCAGTTGCAAATGGAGGGGCTTAGTCCTAGTGTGGATAGTTTGTCCATCAGGGTTTGGGGGATCATGGTGTTGAAGGCGGATGTGAAGTCCACAAAGAGCATACGGACGTAAGAGTTTTTCTGCTCCAGGTGGTTGAGCGCAGTGTGGACCACAGAGGAGATGGCATCCTCTGTTGATCAATTCTCACGGTATGCATACTGATGAGGGTCCTCGTTGATGTTGATGGTTGTTTTGATGTGAGTCATGACCAGTTTTTCGAAGCATTTAGCGACTATCGGGGTGAGGGCCACTGGCCGATAGTCATTCAGACCAGTCACTGTAGAGCTTTTTGGGACTGGGATGATGGTGGCAGTCTTCAGGCAGGTGAGAACTGTCTCCAGGGTAAGTGAGGTGTTAAAGATGTCTGCCAGCACCTCGCAGAGCTGATCAGCACATTCCTTCAACACTTTTCCGGGGATGTTGTCTGGGCCAGTTGCCTTGTGCGGATTAATCCTCCTGAAGGTACTCCTTACTTCTGCTGAGGTCATGCTGAGATGCTCTTCATCCGGTGGTGAGGTGAGTCTGGTGCTGGGTGGTCTGTTCGGGTCTTCAAAGCGTGCATAGAACTTGTTGAGGGCATCAGGCAGAGATGGGTCTTTGGGGCATTGTTCGCTCCTTCTTTTATAATCTGTTATGCACTTAATGCCCCTCCACATGCTCCGAGGGTCTTGTGTGATGAATTGACCCTCGATCCTCTTTGCATATGCGCCCTTGGCCCTCTTAATACCAGCAACCAGCTCTGCTCTTGTCCTACTCAGCTCCTCTGAGTTTCCAGACCTGAAGGCAGTGTTCCTGGCTTCCAGCAGGGTACGCACCTCTGCATTCAGCCAAGGTTTTCTGTTTGGGTAGCTTTTAACATTTCTGATAGTGGAGACGGTGTCAGTACATGTACTAATGTAACCCAGAACTGAGGATGTGTATTGGTCAAGATCAAGCGAACCTCCATTTTCACCAGCTTCTCTGAAAACCTGCCAGTCTGTTAGGTCAAAACAATCTATCAGTATGGGGCCACTGTCCTGGATCCAGCCTTTAACTTTCTTTTGTACCGGTCTGGAGCGTCTCAGCGGGGGCATGTAAGCAGGAGCCAGGAAGATTGAGATGTGGTCTGACAGTCCTAGGTGGGGGTTCGGCTTTGTATGCATCTTTTACGTTCGTGTAAACACGGTCCAGCGTGTGGTCTCCATGTGTTGGAATCGCCACATGTTGATAAAAGAGTGAGTGTCGAGTAAGAGGAGTGTCGAGCAGCCGTTCTATCCATTCAATCTTTATTTATACACTTTAATCTCATTGAAACACGATCCTGCCTCTATGATGATCCTGCCTAAATCCAAGCGGCACTCAGTTGTCTGAAAAATCACAGAATATGTGTAGATTCAAACTAGAACTAGGTGAAATGTGCTGCACTATCTAAAACCAGCTACAGTATAATAAGGTACATTTGAAAACAGCTGTTTTAAAACTTTTAAACATATTCACATGCCGTATTTTCTTCAAAATTCAATAAAATGCAAATTGAAAAAAATGTAAGCTTGAAGAAAAAGCAATATGTTAAGCTAAACCTGACGTAAATTAAAGATTTATTGGTAGGCTGTAATGCACAAAAACAAGTTGGACTCAGAAATGCAAACACAACATACAGTCCCTGGGACTTCTTTCAGTTAAATCAAGCTCACAGCAACATGAATGTGCAAGATATAAATAAAGAAAACTCAATACAAACTGATTTATACACAAAAGTTTTGAGCTTTCCTTTTTGTGTACGGGCAGCTGCAAACAGTGCCCTGTTTTTATTTTGACAAAGCCCGGCATTGTGTTCTGCAGGAGATGGGGGGGATGTG